TTCACTTAATTACTTTCTGTGTATATTTTATATTTACGCATATTTATATCTTTTTATCATTTATAACTTTATTGTACTCCGAATCAACCTATAAATATTAAATTGTATTTCATGGACACACCAAAATATTAATATATATTCTGTATTTGTGACTTGTTCTAAAGGGATACTAGTCCCAGAATAATAAAATTATTTTTGTTCATTCATTCATTCATATTGTTATCAAATGCCCAATTAATAAGAAAATAAAATAAAGCAACGTATTTTAAGATAAAGAAATCAATTGTTACTTTATAGATAAATATAATCGACAAAGGAAACAAAAATTAATTTAAATCTTCATTAATGTTTGGAACCAACATGTTTACAAATTTCAATAATCTGTATCTTTGCTAAAAAATTTTCGATTTCGATGATTTTTATTTTTATTGTTTTTTCCTTTTGCAGGGAATTTTGTAATCTTTTATATAATCATGGGCATAACCAAGGGAAAAGTGTATGTAATTTTTTAGTTATTCGCAAATAAAGTTTGTTTTCTTTCATAACTTGTTTACCTGAATTTTTTGGGTGATTGGACTATTTTCCCCACCTGAAGGAGAAGGAAGCCTTCGAACTTGGTGGCCTAATCTTGAGATTTGGTAAAGAATTAACGATGATATGGCTTGCTGATCAAAAACACCATCGATAAATAATATAAACTCCTCCTCTCCCGATCATAGAGGCCTCAATTCTCTATGACCTCACGACCTCAATGACAGTACTACAATTAACGTAAGGTTGTGTGGATGCGAACCCTATGCCTTGCGTTATCTCGAAAATAGTAAGTTTTTGGGCTTAAAAATGCAGGAACTATCCGGGTCTTGCTGTATGCATCAAAATCTAGGTCCAATTTGTCCCATATCGATCTACAGACCTACTACCGTTCCAGTATTGACGCCTGGCAAAATGTTTGTATCTACTTTATTTATTTTAGAAATAAAAACAAAAGTGGTGAATAAGATTCGCTAACCCCCCGTGAAATTCTGAATCCAAGGGTACCCTATTCATGGTATTTGAGCATGATAGAAGCTTATATTTGGCACATAACAGATTTCGAGCCTTACTGTAATAATATATGTGGGGATGGGGATTAAACTTAATTCAAAAATAGTTTATGAGGAAAATCCGTTGCTCAGTTTTTATAGTGAGCTGTTTAGTGAGGTTGCAAAAATTATTAAATTTTTATGAATGGAATTTAATTTTAAGAAAATTGAAGATACCTAGACAGCTGGTTTCTGTTTATTCAATGTGATGCCTCGTATTTGGTATACCAGGAGATGAGGGTGATGAAGACGGAGTAGGCGAATGATGTGAAGCTATCTGTTATATACTATTTAATAGCTTCACGTAATTCAAAAATACTTTGCTGGAATATCTTGAATTTTTTATTCAACATTTGCAATTTAACTCTTTTGTTTTGTATATTTACTGATTCCTAGAGGTAATTGAAATTGTATATACTTCCTTGGAAATGAGTCATATAAATAACTGTTTGATTAACTAAAATAATATATACCTAAACTGAACTACATATAATGTATAAGTTGAGGGGTTGTTTAGTAAAACTCATAAATCAGTAATAAACAAAAAAAATTGTTTATTTCCTTTATTTTGTTCGGAAGGCAGACCATATCATAAAAAAATATGAAATTTTAATGTTGAATGCATTATTCTCTCTGTACAAAGAAAGAAGGATGAAACCGGCGAAGCTATAAGTTCTTCTAGGCAACCGGAACTGATTGTTAGTAGAAACAAAGTGCCGAAATCTCTGAAAAGATAACAAGAATCAGTATCCATTATATGGCTAATGTTAATAATTATTTGATCTGCATTTTATATATATATATGTTGATAAATATTATGCATTATTTTAACTGTTTGATTTTTTACGAAATATGACTTGTAAGTTATACTTGACTCTTTTATAATATGTATCATGTAGCATAACAAAGAAAAAATATTGCATTACTATAATGTTAGTAATGTTTATAACACAAAGATAGACTCTATTTGTATGGGGTTCTTCCCTCAAAACAAATTAGATTAAATAAATAAAATATATATATTTATTTTTATTTTTTTCCGGTTGGCACTACAGAACAAGAAGATCTTTGGCCGAGAGATGTGGTCTCCTTACAGACGTATGCTGCTTGCAGGAGCTCAGATAGCCTGGAGGGGTCACCCAACCTCACGTTGCTACGAACCATGGTCTCCATGGTGCAGCGGTAGGCCACCCGTAGCTCCATAGCCAATCCCTTTGGGGCCAATCTGGCAGTGTCCTTCCCACCGACTCACTCGGGTTCAAGGACAGTGACAAATCGGTCTAGATCCATGGATTATGGCTGCTCGGAGTCAGCAGGCGCATGAGGACCTATATTTCTTTCCCCAAAACAGACCGTCCATGGAGAACCTCAGGGGGACTACTAACATCCTGGTAGACCACATCTCGATTCCCGATTAAGTACACGGGATATATATATATATATATATATATATTGTCTTATCTGTATTTATTTTGAGCCCTAGATCTTTACCGACTTTTATTAATGTTATCGTATTTAGTTTTATAGTTTCCGGAATTTTATAGGTTCCGGGTCTTCGCTTAAAAGAACCAAATCATCCGCATAGCCAAGCATGGGTGTTGTCCCACCCAGATCCAACCCTTTTTCGGTAAGCATTATTTCCCTAATGGCATGTTCTAATGCCAAATTGATCAGAAAAAGCGAAAGGGAATCACCTTGTTTTAAATCCCAACGAACCTCAAACTTTTCAGATAAATAATTACCGATTCTAACTTTATTGAGTGTTTTCGTCAAGCACATCCTCACGAGATTTACTAATTTCTTTTTGGATCCCCTGCTCAATTAGAATACTATACAGTTTCTGGCGGTCTATAGAATCGTAAGCCTTTTTGAAATCGATATACAGCTGGTGAACAACACCGTTGTACTCTATTTTTTTCTCCAATATTTGCCGTAAAGAAAATAACTGATCAATTGTCGAACGGTTCTGTTCGCACATTGCTTTAGTTTATCAAAGAAATCGTTCTTAATTGTTTCTTAATGGACATATTTAAAGATATAAAACTTTTCTTAAAAGGTAGGAAAGTCGTGTGAGTGAACACAGCAGATTCTTTATTTTTGAGCAACTTTGTCGCTTCATTCTTTGACAATCGGAAGTATTGGAGATTGTCTTCGCTAGGATTATTTAGAGCTTTTAATTTAGTAGATTTTCTTTTATCACACATATTTAAACACACTTCATCGAACCACGGTTTATTTTTTCTATTTTCCTTTTTCCCAAGACACAAGTTACCGACCGCTTTTATATTATCCCCAATCTCTACCCATAACTCGTCTATACCATCACAGTCCTCTTCAGAAGGTTCTAAAGCTTCAGAATAATTCTTAACATCCAGCTCGAATTGAGTTCTAATTGATGAGTTTTTAATTTTTCCAAATTAAAATTCTTGATATCAAAACATTTTAAATTCAAAACATCACATTTTAAATCTTATAAGTGAGAAATAACTTATTTATTACATCTTATTATTTTTTATCATTTTTCAATTTTTATAGATTAATTTACTTTAATCCTTCATTATATGACCAAAAAAAAAATAATAAAATAAGTTTTAATAAATATAATTTTCTATCTGAATTTTTACTTGTTGGACGCCTGACTTTACCAGCCTTTCATCTCTAAAGAGATAAGTCTAGAAAATATAAGGTACTTACCCATTATTTGGCCATGATTATATATTTATCCTACCAAGCAAGCTCAGGTGAGAAGAGGTTTGAGGTTGGATATTTTTATAAAGCAGCAAAAAAGGTTAAGATATCTATTTACAGAAAAAAATATTTACAGAATTAATACTATTTACAAGCAAAAGAAATGAAATGAAAGGAAAAAGAGAAAATTTAAATAAAATTACTATATACAATTAAAGATAAATAGGAAGATACTTAAGATAATAAAAATAACAAAAAAGATACTTATTCTATATACAATAGTATGGTATGCCACATATAAACATCAAGAAACGATAGTCAAGATATAAGATATCAGAGCACATGCCCATGCTAAAAAATAGTAATTAAATTATCAGTCACAGGAAACAAAAGAGAGAAGAGTTCTATTTTTTTTTTTTTCAATGCTTCCTTAATCTTGGTTACAATTATTTTTAAGTATTTCCGCTTTGTATGATCTCTCTTTTATTTCTTGCCATGGTCCCTAACCATGAAAAAAGACTCAATTCTGAATTCTTCCACATTCACATGGAACAGAATCCTGTTAATCATAGAGTAGATAAAAACTACATTTCTTTAACATATAGGCACATTTTATTCTTATAAGTGAAAAATAACTCATTTATTACATCTTATTATTTTTTATCTATTTTCATTGATTAATTTAATTTAATCGTTCATTATTTTTAAGTATTTCCACTTTGTATGATCTTTCTTTCATTTTTAATTTTATATTTACATACTGCATCAATGCACGTTCATCTGTTTTTACTTCTGAAGTTTCCACTTCAAAGTACTATTTGGCTGGACTATGATTTTTGTCACTTGTTCATATCGAACAACCCTTGATGTGGAAATCATAAGACATTTAAAAAAATGTTAAGAACATGAAATGTAGATAATTTTCTCATCTTTATGTTAATATAGTTTCACTTTTTGTGTAAAAAAATATCTTATGCATGTTATAATCAAAAAACCAAAATAACTAGTGATTATTTATTTATTTTTTAATGATTTTTCATATTTGCCACAAAAAATTCTGTTGGACACCTTTAAAGTATAAACAAGTCTTTTTTATGTGGCTTCATCAACACTAGTTAATGTTTATTAATCATGTTTATTTTTTATGTGTTTGTCAATTTTTATTAGGTGTGGAAGTGCAAACTGTTACGGTATGGAAGCAAGCAAATGATAAAAAACTTCCTGTTCTAGTTTATGCTAATAAAATGGATCATCCTGACAGCGATATTAGTCTTTGTGAGAAATCTCTAAAAGAAAAACTTGGTGTAATACCTTTAGTTTTACATATTCCACTCAAAGGTAAGATTTTCTTTGTTTTTAAATGATATCCAACATAATAGCATTTTTTATTATTAGTATAATATAATATAATAATAGTATATAATTGTATAATAGGAAGAACACTCGGCTATTGCCAACACTGCAATAGTGGCTCCATAAAGTAAAGTATAGTATATCTAGAAAGATAGGATAGGACCCTTCTGTTATTTTGTGTTAGTGGCTTAAAAAATAATTTTTATATTATTTTAACTTTTCCATCACCAAAGTGTGTAAAGTAACCAAAGTCCCAGTTATTGATGATTTCAAGCAATTGTACCAACCTTGGAAGGACTAGAGAATATGGATGAGTATGAGTAATGGTGTTCCCAAAACTAACCATTTCCGATTTCTTGGTGACTGTCTCATGTTCTATATTTCCTTAATTTGTTTTCATTAGATTTTCATTGGCATTTTATTTTCAAAAGATCATTTTATCATTATTAGTTTTTTTTTTCTACCTTCTAGTAAGTACTTTGGTGGTATGTTAAATTACACTTTAAATTATACCTCATCATATTTCTGATCCCAATACCCCAGTGCAGTGTGGGCTATATCTCGTAGAGCTTGGACCAGGTTTCCCTTTCTTGAGCCAACTCTCTACTCTTACTCCAATCCATACCTTACTTCCTGAATGCCTCTTGTACACTGTCTTCCTAAGATATGCGTGGTCTTCCTCTAGGTCCCTTCCCTCCACATGGATCTCGTGTGTCTTCCTGGCTGTTCTCTCTTGATCCATTCTAAGAAGATGTCCGAACCATCATAGCTTGTGCTCCTCTAGGATGGTGTCAGCCGGTTTGACCTTGAGGCTAGTTCCTATAGTGGCGTTCCGGACCCTATCTCTTCTGACTTTCTCTCAATCTTCCGAAGGTATATCATTTCCATGGCTTGAATTCGGCTTTTGTGTTTCGAGGTAAGGGTCCAAAATTCAGAGGAGTACGACAGGATAAGGAGAAATGTCAATTTGTAAACTGCTACTTTAGTTCGCTTCGTTATCTCTCTTCTGCCCAGAAATCCCCTCCGGAGCAGATAGGAAACTCTGCCAGCTGCCCCGATTCTTTTACTCACCTCCTCATCAACATAACCACTTTCGTTGAGATGAGCACCCAGATACTGGAAATTATCTACCTTCTCCAATCTCTCACCACTTGCTCTCATCACCCTCATTATTCTCCGGGGCTTCTTCCCTATTCTCATGCATTTAGTTTTCCCCGGGTTAATCTTCATGTTTATCGTGACTATTTCTTTCTGGAAGATGTTGATGTATTGGAGGTCTCGATCGTTGGCAGCTAGCAAGACTAGGTCGTCAGCAAATGCCAGCAGCACAGAGAATCTTGTCGGTTGCAGTTTTTGGTGTCCTAACTGGAACTGCCTCATCCTTACTTTAGCCTTTCTAAGTGCCATGTCTAAAACTATGATGAACAGTAGCGGGCCTAAGCTAAAACCTTGGCGAATACCTAATGTCATCTCAAATTCTTCTGAAATGTAGTTCATGGTCCTAACCACATTTCTGGTCTTGTTATAGAGACTCATCACAGCCAAAATCGTTTTATGATCAGTCCCTCTTTCAGACAATGCCCGCTCTACATCTTCCTTCCTCACTCTGTCGAAAGCCTTTTGGAGGTCCACGAAACAGACAGAAAGCTCTTTATTCTTCTCGACAGTCTTTTCTGTAATTTGGCGCAATGTGAAGATAAAATACTGTGTACTTCGCTGCCCTCTGCAGTCGTACTGTTCTTCCTCGAGCTAACTATCGACCAACCTTCTTACCCTTGTCTCCAGTATTCTGGAATAAACTTTAATGGTTACACTGAAAAGCGATATTCCTCGATGATTCCCACACTCTCTATTATCTCCTTTCTTATAAATGGGCACGATCACTGCAACTTCTCAGTCTTTCGGAATTTTTTTTTCCTTCCAAATCAGGTTCAGAAGATGGAGGAATATTCTTGGCCTTTGCTACCTAGGATCTTAATCATTTCGGGAGTGATTTCATCAAGTCCTGCTGCTTTGCCTAGCTTGATCTTGTCGATGACTTCTTGCAGTTCCTCCTCACTGATGTAGTCGTCTTCGACCCAAACATTCTCTACTTTGTTCCGAGTATCACACATCTCTACCCTCAAGCGATTCTTTAAAATAGTCCCTCCATCTTTCCATAATCAATTCCTCCTGCCAGATGATCTCCCCAACGTTATCTTTGTAAGAAATGTCATGTTAAGATGTAAGAAAGGCCATCAAAGAAAAGAAGAAAGCTTGAAAGAACCACCTAAGTCTTAGAACTCCCAAAGCTCACCAAGTATACAAAGATCAGAGAAAAGATGACAAGTTAAAAGTGCTTGAAGCAAAAAGGAAATCAAAAAGGAGGATTTTAGTCAACAACTTGAGGAAAATACCAGAGAAAATCAGAAAATCTTTTATTAAGTCCTCAAAGGAATGAGTAGGGACCTACTGACTTCACTTAAAGGAATCAAAGATTAATTTATACCTACTTGTATAAATTACAGTTATTTTTAATGCATTTGCATTAATTCTCTATATAGATGTTTGAGTTTATTCTCTTATCTTTCCGTCTTCAGTACTTCATTTTTAGTCCATTTGTTATACTACAGCTTTTATTCTACTGCTTGTTAATAAATACTTAAGTGATTTTCAGGGTTAACTATTTATCAGAAAGAGAAACAATGAGTGTTTCTTGAACTGAGTTGGGGAGGAGATGACTAGATTATATATTAAATTCATGAAATACTTTGCAGTTAAAATATTTGTTGTACAATATAGCATATTAGGCTCTTATAAATTTTTACTTTCACTTACGTATATATGTAATATATAGTAAGTGTAAGTATTGCGATCGAGAAAATTTTTGAATCTGAGTTTTCAACGGAAATAGACGTTTTGAGGTACCCTCAGTCGAAATGACCAAGTCCCGAAAAATGGTCTGTGTGTCTGTGTGTTTGTATGTTAGCTGTCTAGCTCAAAAACGAAAAGTCCTACGAAAAAGATATTACATATTTAAGATAGGTATATGCCTTAGATTCGACAGCAACTTTTTCCTTAAAATCGGCTAACCGGAAGTGCCACTTTATATCAACGCTGAAACACATTTTCACAATTTTCTCAAAAACGGCTCTAACGATTTTGATTAAACTCGGTGTATCATTGTATAATTAAGTGGTCTTTATTATCAATTAGGTCTGATTGATGTCACTTAACAGGGCTTAAATGCCCAATGTTCATATATGTCTTCCTCTAAAGTACCTTAAATATGGTTTATTTTAAAAAGTTAATCATTTCACATTATTCAAAGTAATGAAAAAATGCTAAATATAACTTTTGAAAGATTTTGATAAGTTAATAAAGGAGAAAAAAAAAACAAACAGAAAAACCTACGTTGCTATAGACTGTAGCGCCTAAACGGATATACCGATTTCAATGAAACTTCGCTAAAGTCATTTTCTCGACACTCTTTAAATTAATCTATATAACATACTTCAACGAAAAGAAGCTGGAAAAAAAGTTATGAGCGATGGTAAAATTAAATTCCGAATAACTGAAAAAGTTTACACTTTTTTGTTGATGGTTTTTAAAAAGTTTATGGAATTTCCTAAAAAAACAAAAAAAAAAAATCATTAAGATCGGACAACTAGGAGGAAAGATATGGTCTCTAGTTTTTTTCCCTGAAGAGGCGAAAATTTGGATAAATTAAAAATATACTATTTTAATTGTTGAGACTAAAAAAACTTTTTTTCTACAGATATTTAATAAAGTATCTTTCCTATGAACATTTTTCATAAGAAATAAGTACCTAAATTTATACATTTATTTTTAGTTCTATATTTCAACATTGCAATCATAACCTCCGGAATCAACTTACTCATATTCTGCATAGATAACTCTTTCAACTAAAAATATTACTAAAATGATATCACTTAAAAATATTGAAATTGGAGTTAGTCATTCTGAAGTTTATAAAAGCAAAGAAAGTTGTGTGGTTTATAAAAGCAGATGGAGTGACTAGATTTTTATTGCCTGTTGTCGATATATTAAATAGACATTTTGTAATTATAATGGTTCTAATGAATTGTTATTTGTAAGCTTTAGCTCCGTTTAAAATGCACTTCAAAAAAATTTATTATAGCCCAGCATTGCCAGAAAATAATTTCTATTCATAGTAGATTGGTAAGTGAAAGTTGTGTGTTGCGCGCACCAGATTTTTTTTTATAAGATTTTTTCTAATATTTTTCTAATTTTATTTAATATTTCTTTATTCATTTTATAATTATTTTGGATTTTTCTTTTTCTCATTATTTTCTGTAAATAGCACAACTGGATGACACTAGAAAATTAATCAGTAGTAGATAGATAGATACATAGAAACTAACTTTATTCTATGATAAAGTCCCTTTAGAATTACAAAATAGTACAAAATTAAAAAATTACATATGGTCTAAATAAATACAAAAACAAAAAAGAAAAAGAAAGAGAAAAAATAAAGAAAACATTTAAAACTATGACAAGACAATTAAAAGTATGTACAACGGTAAAACATTATGATGTAGAGATGGTTGACCGTTGATATAATATGAGAAGGAGTTAATTGGGGGGTGCGGTCAAATAAATACTAAATTAAAATATAGTAATTATTTAATTTTTGCTGACATTTCGACCCACTTTGTAGGTCGTCTTCAGATAATATTATCTTTTTATTTCTGTATCTGACAACTTCTTCTTATTTTATATCTATTTATATTTATTTTTTATTTTCAACATGTTTTGTATCTTTTGTAGCCCTGAAGACGACCTGCAAAGTGGGTCGAAACGTCGGCAAAAATTAAATAATTACTATATTTTAATTTAGTATTTATTTGACCGCACCCCCCAATTAACTCCTTCTCGTAAAACATTATGATTATACACTTTTAAGAAAAAAATATAAAATACATTAAGTTCTTCTTTAAAATAAGCTCTATGTTTCTGCAAAGAAAAAGAAAGCCGAATATGGCATTATAAAATACCAGAGTATTTAAATGATGAATAATGTGTAAATACATCATAATCTATTCTTTATGTAACTAAAGGTAAAAATTTGATTTTATAAAAAATAATAGTAAAAAACCAATGCATAGATAGAAGATGCATAGAAAAAATAGATGCATTCAGTGGCATCAGCACTAGACAAATCTTGTAACATCCCCAGCAAAGAATAGTACTACAATTTGATGATGAATGCCATGAAATAAATGTATAATGCCAAAAGGTTAGCAGGTATCTGACTGTTTTTGTGAATAGGGGGGGTTTTCATCTATTATTGCTCTTTCATTTACTTTTTTCTTAATCGATTTAATCTAGAAGATAACTTTTTTTTCCCTTTATTCTCTATTATATCTATTAGTTAACTTTCTAAATACATGTGTGTGTGTGTATATATATATATATATATATATATATATATATATATATATATATATATATCTGAGGTTCAAAAGCCCACATTTTTGTCCTTGTTAATTATTCTAAAGGGATTCGTCCCAGAATAAATAAAATATTATTATTAAAAAAATAATTGGACTGATTTTTCACTAATCTTAAATGTTAAGAATGTTATTCAATACACATTTCTTAATCACTTTTTTTATTTTTTAAAAATTATATTATTGTGCCTGTTTTCAGAAAAATCAATGTTTAGAGGTTTGGTGGATTTAGTTTCTGTAAAAAAAATTATTTGGTCTGATAAAGAAATTTCAGTTTCTGATTTAAATGATAAAGATGAATATTATACTTCAGTACTGGAAAAAAGAAATAATTTAATTGATCAGTTATCATCATTGGATAATGATCTTGCTGATATCATTCTGCAAACTGGATGTTTTGAGTCTGTTTCTGAGAAGGAGTTACTATTATCTATTCGCAAAGTTACGATTTCCAAGGTAACTAGTTTTCTGTAAATATTGTGGAATATATCTGTTTATAATTTCCAGACTGAAACAAAACATTTGAGTTTAAATTGTATATATAAATTGTATATATATATATATATATATATATATATATATATATATATATATATATATATATATATATATATAAATACATACTTACATATACGTATATACTATAGATCAAATATTTAACGCTTATTTATTTTTGTTTTTGAGAAATACTTAGTTATATATGTTAAAACCAGTTTTGTTATATTTGTCTATCATCAGAATTAATGAACATGTTTATTTATATATATGTTTTTTATTATTGTTTCTATTAATCTACAAAAAAAAATTTAGTTTAAGAAATACCTTTTTTTCTTCAATTAATATGACCCTAATTGGTTCTGGACAACTTCATATTCAAAACTTCTTATTTTTCCACCTCCCACATCTGGGATTTTGTTTCATTCTGAAGGGAAACAAATATTTTTCTGTCGGCCTTATGTAACCCCAGTGAAATGCCTTATTCTTTTCAGAGTCTGGCCTCTACTTGTTCTTATCCATTCTATGAAGTGTATGTACTACCTTGGCCAAAAGTATTAGGCACCAGTAAAAATAAACTATTTCATTTTAATACAAAATTCTATATTCACTGCTGCTTCCAAAACTTGTTTTTTTCAGCTTTCAACTCATAGACAAGTTCAGACCACGTTGCAACTTCTCTCCTAATTGATCGACACCAAATTAGTGCCGCACCCTTAAACAAATTGTACGCCGCTAAAAAATGATCTTCAGTGGTATTCCAAGCTAGTTTTAAATCATTTCGCCCACTGTATTTATTCTGATAATTCCACGAATCTTTAATTCATACTCCAGCTCTTCTTTGATCAATCTATCGACATTCATTTTAATCTGGTTTAGATTTTTTTTTTAATTAATTATAAAAAAAATTCTTAAATTAAAAAAATTGAAAACAATTTTTTTTTATTTATTATTATTTATGAAGATTACAACTTTACATTTAATATACATTCAGCAAATGTGATACAGAGAAATACATGACATGACAAGGCTTGTAGAGAATCTACCCATTAGTAGCACTCTAATAAAGTTTATAAATTAGGAGATCACGAGGCCATCTTTGTTTCAGACGCCTAAGAGGGTTATCAGGAATCGAGGAGAAAGCAAGGTTAGAAATGAGAGAATTAGGATGGTTCTAAAGTTTATTATGGAAGGATAGGTATCTGGATTGGGCCAAATCAGAAACATATGGAACATTCAAGTCATGGTGGATTATTTTATTTGTTACAAAGTAAGGAGCATTAAGGATTTTGGATTGTAAAGATTGGATACGAGAGGAATTCGATGGTTTCGTGGAGCCCCAAAGCTCAACTCTGAAGTCCAAGTAGGTCTTATTATGGTCATGTATATGAGTCTTTTGTAAATAATTGAAAGGTTAGAGCATTTGTCTAGTAAATGCTGAAGTAGTCGGAAATGTCGAGCTGTTTCTTGTTGTTTCAGTCTGGTATGAGAATTCCAAGTTAGACATTTATCCAGGTGGATTCCTAGGTATCGAATTTGTTCAACAGGAATAAGTAGGGTATTATTAAAGGATACTGTAGGACAGGAAGTCATAGGTTTACAACGAAGGGTAAAGGTAATTTGATGGGATTTATTGGAATTTATTTTAATTCTCCAGTTTTGACACCATTCTTCAAGGTTTGTGATATGTGGGATTGAAGGGTTTGGGATGCACTTGTTGGTCGTTATGAACTGATAGGACGCATGAGTTATCGGCATAGGTTGTAATAACGGTGTTAGGATGGGTTGGGATATCAGCTGTATAAACTGTGTAAAGAATAGGACCTAGGATACTACCTTGAGGAACTCTAGCAGACTGGGAAAAGAGGGATGAATAGACATTGTTGTGATTTACTTTGAAGTATCTATTAGTAAGGTAGGAACGAATAATGAAGAAGTATGTAGGTGGTAGGAATTTACGGAGTTTGTACAGCAGTCCCAGGTGCATGACTATCAAACGCCTGCTCAACGTTGAGAAATACTTCCATGCAGTACATTCTGGCTCCAATGCAGGGGAGACTACATCTACCACACGATGGCATTGCTGGATAGTGGAATGGGAAGTGCGGAATCCAAATCGGTGGTCAGGAATTATATGATTAGAATCTAAGATGGGGTACAGGCGTTTTAGGATGAGTTTCCAGGATAGGATAGGAAAATCCAGGATTTTGCCCATAATGGGTAATAGAGAGATAGGTGAGTAAGATAATGGGTGTTCGGACATTTTTTTGGGTTTGTGTATCATTTTAACAATAGATAGTTTCCAGGGGTCAGGAAAATATGTGAATCAGAGTACAGCATTATATTATATTATTATATTATAGGTAAGGAACAGGATGGCTTTCCGAGGAAGCAGTTTTAAGATCTGGGATGTGACTAGGTCGTGGCCAGGAGCTTTGTGGGAGGGTAATCTGTGAATGATATTGGCTATTTCTGAAGGATGAAATGCTTTAGGTGGAGGAGTCATTTGGAGAGAAATATCCAATTCTGCTTCAATACACTCAAGGTGATTTGGATTAAGGATATCAGGGTGTGGATTGAAGGTTTTGAAGAGTTGGCGATCAAATATGAGAGATTTCTCGTCGTAAAGCGTCTTTTATATTCAATAGTTCATTTTGAAGAGCCGAGACAAAGACCTATAGTAGTGCAATGCACTAACTGTCAAAATTTGGGACACACAAAGGCCTACGACCATCATCAGGCCAGATGCGTCAAATGTGCTGGGGCACATCCGTCTGATATTTGCCAGAAACCAAGGCAAGAGGCTGCTATATGTGCACTTTGTGGCGAGGGACACCCAGCAAGCTACAGAGGTTGCATAGTTTATAAAAATCTTCTGAAGCTGAGATCACATAATATGGCGTTGAAAAGCCTTAGCCTTGATCATAAAAGTGGCACTGAGGACCCCGCAATCAATGATAGAACAAATTTCCCAGCACTGCCGTCGTCACCTTCTCAAGTCATCCAGCCTCAACCATCCATCTCCACAGCTACGGACTATCCTCAACAGGGTTCGGGAAATTTACATCTCCAAACCACCATCAAGAACCAGCAGCCTCGACGACAGGCGCCTCAGGCTTCCCAATCCAAGCCTAAAACTGCTAAACCTCAGCCTCAACCTCCTCGTCCGCAAATCCCTCTTCACCATCTACCCTTAAGGGTCAAACTCCCGCCAGAGCATTCACACCCAGTTCCATCCGTTCCTAATCCCAATGTAAACCTCCCATCACAAGCCCAACAGAATATAGATCCAACTCCTCGCATCCCACGTCGGGCACATCCCCCTTCCAGCAATCCTAGTCGCACAAATTACCCATCACATCCTCCTGACCTAAATCCACTTCATAGCCAAAAACCTTCCGACATAAATTCTGTCCTTTCAACATTCCTGATAGATCTTCAAGAGACTATCAAACCACTTATTACCCTCCTCACCAGACTCCTTTCCGAAATCCCGTTCAACTTCCCCCGATGAATACAAAGCCCCTAGCTATCCTTTTATGGAACGCTAATGGACTACTCAATCACCGAGACGAACTAGACTTATTTCTCCATGACAATCTCATTGACATTGCCCTTCTGACGGAAACTCACTTCACTCAACGGATACATTTCTACATACATGATTACATCACTTACAGATCTGACCACCCATATAACACTTCCCACGATAGTTCATGTATCCTTATCCATCAATCTTTATCCCACTCCCTTATTCCTTCCAATCCAACTGATGCCATTCAATCAACTTCTATTGTCCTTTCAACTCGCCCTTTCCATCTCACATTCTCAGCTGTATACTGTCCTCCTGGTAATTCCATCTCCTATAACCTCCTTGAATCCTTATTCCAATCCCTCGGATCGCGCTTTATTGCTGGAGGAGACTACAATGCTAAACACCAACGATGGGGTTGTCGAACATCCAACTCCCGCGGTAACATCCTTTCACGTATCTCATCTTCCAACAGTTATTCAATCCTCTCGCCCATGAGTCCTACTTATTGGCCAACATCACTCAAAAAACGTCCCGATATCCTGGATATATTTATCACCTCCCAGATTTCCTTCTCACAAACCTTAATCAAATCACTCGATGACCTTTCTTCAGACCATAGTCCAGTGCTGCTTTCACTACATTCAAGCTATGCTCCTAAACCACCATCTCCTAAATTGATTACAGGACGAGTAAACTGGGACAAATTTCGTGATGACTTGGAAAACAAACTAGACTTGAAAATTCCGCTAAAGACAAAAGAAGACATTAATGGTGCCATAGAAATACTTACAACATCAATAACAGACAGTATAAACAGTAACACCTTTAAAAGTAAGATTAACAAGTTACAAAAGACTAACTTGCCACAGCATATTCGTATCTTATTAAAGGAAAAACGCAGAGCAAGATCGAAGTGGCATAGAACTAGATATCCAACAGATAAAACTCATTATACCCAACTGACTAACAAACTAAAATCAGAAATTAGAAAATACAAAATTCAAATTACTAAATTTTACTGAAAAACTTACACCTACCGACAAATCACTGTGGACGACGACTAAACGGCTCCTGAAATTTAAAGAATTTAATCATCCACTTCATACTGAAGCTCAAACTTGGTCCAAATCTGATGAAGAAAAATCCCAAATTTTTGCTCATCACCTCTTCAAAACTTTTAATCCACATCCTGATATCCTTAATCCAAATCAGCTTGAATGTATTGAAACAGAACTGGATATTCCACTCCAAATGACTCCTCCTCCTAAAGCATTTCATCCTTCCGAAATATCCAATATTATTCACGGATTACCCTCCCGCAAAGCTCCTGGCCACGACCTAATCACTTCCCATATTCTTAAGCTACTTCCTCGAAAAGCCATTCTATTCCTCACTTACATTTATAACGCCGTACTCCGTTCCACAT